CTCACTGTCAAACACTGAAGATCCCATTATATCGCAATACGTATCGAAATACGGGTACCAGAATCGCTATATATCGCAATACAATCTATACTAGCCACATAAAGAAACTGTGCATTGTCAAAATATTATCCCAGTTGATAAGGACGATAACAATGTCAAAGGTACATATAAACATTCATGGAGAGATCATGAGACCATAACAAGTCGGGAGAATTTCAATTGAAAAGTCAATCACAATGACGTCACGAGTCCACAAGCGGGACAGGGGTCAAACGACCATGTCACAAGCTCAATAACGGGTATGTCCACCATCGGCAGTGAGAACAGCAGTGCATCGACGACGCATAGAGCCTATCAAACGTGCAAGGAAGGCTTGTGGGATGTCACGCCAGATTCTCTCAAGCTCTGTTGCAAGGTCAAGGACGTTATCTGGCAGATGAAGAAGACGGCGTAGACGTCGATCCATCTCGTCCAAAACATGCTCTATCGGGGAGAGATCCGGTGAATTTGCAGGCCAAGGCAGTAAGTCAACGTTGTGGTGTTGCAAGAAAACCATAGCAACCTTTGCCGTATGAGGGCGGGCATTGTCCTGTTGGAATGTTAACCCAGGGCCATGACGTTGCAGAAAAGGAATTGCCACAGGTCGAAGAATCTGATCCCTGTAGCCCACACCAGTTAAGTTGCCCTGAAAAATCACCAAAGGAGTTCTTTGGCGTGCTGTAATTCCACCCCAAATCATCACGGAACCACCACCAAAGCGATACCTCTCCAAGACACAGGCCTGTGCATAACGTTCTCCCACGCGTCTATAGGAACGTTGACGCCCATCACTATGGGAAATGTTAAACAACATTTCTCCACCAAAACAAGGGTCTGCGGACATGATTTCGGCACCACATTCGGCGAGCTTGTCGATGTGTCAGGATAGGCCGTGTGGCGGGACGTCGTGGTCTGATCCCGTGATGACGTAAACGTTGTCGAACTGTGTTGGGGTGGATACGGCGAAGTCCTGGGATGGTTCGGGCAGTCATCACTGCAGTCTGAAACCTGTGGCGATGATGGGTCACCCTTATCCATATGTCCGGTCTTGGCTTTGTTACACGTGGACGTCCAGAACGTGGCCGATCGATGACATCATTTGTGTTCTGGTAGCGTCTCACCAGTGCCGAAATGGTGTTCCGGTGGCAGTGGAAATGTGCAGCCACTTGTCGTTGAGACATTCCCCCACGGACCATCCCAATGGCCTCATGACGTTGTGCAGACGTGAGCCTTGGCATGCTATGCATTTCAATAGCCGTTTAATTTTTTGAACGATCTCAAGGGCAGGGGTTGAGCTTTCCAAAGTGACAGTATTGTGTGGCATTCATTTGCTCTGTTTCTCTTTCCCGGAATGCACGTGCAACAACGTACTGCACACGTCTCAAGGACGAACCCACTGACGTCACGGAACGTGGCACGTGCATGCATGAGTTTACATCCTTGTGTGTCTACACAGGTTTGATAAATTTAGATTTAAATTTTTGTATGCACAGTTTCTTTATGGCCCTAGTATATTTGCCAATACACAGCCCTAGTCATCGCATAGCAAGCTGACACAACCTTATTCAACATGGACTCACGGTTTACGAAAAGAGGGGTAAATTCACAGATCAGACAATTCTGTTTGAAAAGGTTATCAATTTTTGGGGACGATGGATATAAGGTCACCTCCTTATGTGTTTCCGAACCTGAGTAAGTAATACCACGTATTGATGTCAATCAAAGTCCATGTGGACAATACAGCCGCCTGGCTACATGAGCAAAACTTTAAGAATGTAATTTGTTATCTTGATAAGAATTATCAGAAACAAGTTTCTTTTTGAGAAACAAAATTTTCAATTAGATGTTGCTCAATTCTTGAGCAGCGACCTGTGCTAGCGTGCTGTTTGATGCAGTAAGTATATTATTTAACTGAATTGCAATATGTTCTAAGCCATAGACTGAAAACCTGGACTTAACCAAATAAAGAAGATAATTTTCAACGTGGTCTCCTTTCATTGATTCACATTTCCCAAACCATGTTGGATACCTTGAAGATCCGTGTTAGAATTGGTCTTAAGCGCCGGCGTTAAACAGCATCCAAACTTTATTTCCCGTCTTTTTCTGTGTTAGGTTCAGAACTAATGAGTCAACCCTCGTGAAAGTGCAAAGTCTTGAGGACATACACTACAACCCTCGTGATAGTACCAAGACATACACTACACACCTTACACACTCTGGAACCAATATAACCTGTAAGTGATTTAAAACCAATGTTTTCATTGCATGGCGCCATAGTGATGGAAAATTATATTTCACTACGATAGATGTGGAAATCAATCAAATTTGCATATGATAGGATATTTGATCCAATTATAATAATATTGCTACACAAAATATTAAAAACTACAACAACATATTTACTTTTTTCACCACAAAAGTTCTTGAGCGTCAGAGTTTCCAAAGAGATACATTTCAACTCATTACTGAACAGCAGTACTAGCAGACACTTGAACAGCGGGAAGTTGATCATTTCCTTGATTAGTCCCGGAAATGTTTGTTGTTTCACAGGTTCTGAGTCGGCATTCGGCCCACATCTCAACAGTTTGAAACTGTATCTAGCTAACTGTACAATATATATCGTGGGGATTCTGATGTCTGAAATAAATACATGATACAATCAGAGATATATCAGAGTCAAGCAGTATATACATATATCTATATCTATATGTAGGGGTGGGTATTGCAGAGAATTTTCATATTGCGATATATTGCGATGCGAAAGCATATATTGCGATATGTATTGCAATAAATTGCAAGAAGTTCTTTTTTAACAAAAAAAACTACTTATAATCGAATTAATGCTTGATTTAATAAGCAAAAACACAAAAATGACTATGAATGATTAAGCTTTAATAAAAATATAAACAATAGTTGCCACAAATAAAAAAGGAAAGGAAGATTTAAAAAAACGGAAACATCCGAAGATTTCCGAGTTTTACTAAGTTTTCCGAATGCATGTCAAAATACCGGTTTTCGATCAGCGTATCGCAATATGTATCGTTTTCATGTCTGAACCGGTAAATACCGGTAAACCGGTTATATTGCGCAGCCCTATCTATATGTCACTCTCTACCTGGGGACGTGGGGTAGCCTAGTGGTTAAAGCGTTTGCTTGTCACGCCGAAGACCTGGGTTCGATTCCCCACATGGGTACACAGTGTGAAGCCCATTTCTGGTGTCCCCCGCCGTGATAATGCTGGTTATTGCTAAAAGCGGCGTAAAACCATACTCACTCACTCACTCAACTTGGAAATCCACACGCAACATTATTGTTGCAAGCGCCACATAAAATGCTTGTTTATTTTGTTCAGAGAGTCATATCATTTGTTATCTGAACAGAGCATCCTTCAACTCCTGTTTTACAGATCAAACGTATATCTCGATATTAGTACAACAGTACTAGTTTGGGAAGGAATGTCTTTGCTCAGGTAAAGTTGGAGATGTTATCAAAAATATGCAATCAAAACATTAAATGAGTTCACAGTTATACGTTTCTGCGAAGGAAAATTCCAAGTGACGTTTCTTTTGCTGCTTAGTATATATCTCTATGCATCTATATGTAGGTAACCATTAATACTTAGAAATGGTAGTGCAAGGGTGTTTGGCCAACTGCAAGATACGTTGGATTGAATTTGTATTCAGTTTTAAATACGAAAATAATATCTTAAAATTCATTGTTTAGTTTCACGATGTATTTACCTATGGGTCTGACACATCTGTATACTGAAGCTCTGGAGGTTATACATCCAGCCAGGTAGCGGCAGGTTTCTCCTCCACAGGCAGCTGGATCCTTAAAAATAATTGTTTCTGAATATGACTTCTTTGATGGGCATTTTTAGAAGTTGGGTTGATGAAGAATGATGACAAATTTATGGATATACAACTTCTTTTATTCTGTGAAGGGCGACGTTTCCACATAGATTCTAATGTCGTTCTAATTGACATCACTTGCTTGACAACGACATTAGAATCTATGTCGAAACGTCGCCCTTCATATAATAAAATAAGTTGTGTATCCATAAAAATTGTTATCATTCTCCTTGATATGAGCGACAAAATCATTTTCGCATTCATAAGAAACACGTGCGTAATATCCGTTGTACATTTCCGACTATACTATTAGCATGTGTAGAATCAAGTAGTGGTTATTATTATGTTTTACAGATTAAGACGAAATGCAGCAGAGAGGGTTCGGGTGATCCTGGCACAGTCAGGCTGGTGAGGCGCATCATCAGCTCAAGGTCCTCGCCCCCTCTATACGCAGCCCAGACAGTGAATGGGACTTCTCCCAGGAAACGCTGCCTAGTCGAACCCACCAAGAACTTTCCAGAGAATATGAAGGCTCTCCAACACTGCAGCCTTCTGCATTACCCAGAGTGTCAGAAGGGGTGTGCTCCTGGTGGAGAACCCGGGCACTCTCTTGATCTGCGCCAAGAGATCAGGACGTACCAAACCAAGGGCACCGTGAACAATGGGGAGCCTGACGACAGTGTACTTGGGATGCAAGCGAGACATTTCAAAGGCGAGGTCGCATATTTAACATGCTTTTCCTGAATCTTGCCAATCACACACATTGCTGTCAAAAGGGACAGAAAATTCAATGATATAAATCCATTGGCTTTATCAAAGAGGACAACATCAGGTTAGTTGGCTGGAATTCTTCTGAGCCTATGTATGGGCCTATTCCAAAGAAGTTTGAAAACATCATTTGTCATGACGCCCTGGACATGTTCAGGGTCGTACCATGGATGGACCTCGGAGTCAAAGCCACAGGCATGCCATTAAGATATGCTGTTTGTGCCATGGAAGGGCATCCATCGACAGGGTGTTGGACAGTCTCTGTAAATTCATTGCAAGGCGACATTTCATATTGATATTTTCTCTAAGAATCACATTTAGTAGTATAAACAATGGGGGTACGGGACCAGCCTATATAAGGCAAGGAATCAATGAGTATCTATTCCTAACTCATATTAATTTATAAATCCATAACACAACTACTTTTCATCTCCCCTGTAAAACAGTAGCCACAGTCTTTCTAGTAAGACTATGTGGTACGGGACCATAAACCCATAACACAACTACTTTTTATCTCCCCTGTAAAAAGTATCCATAGTCTTACTCGAAAGAGTAAGACTATGGCTACTTTTAAGGGAGATAAAAAGTAACCATAGTCTTACTTGAAAGAGTAAGACTATGGTGTATGGGGTCACCATATATAAGGCAAGCAATCAATAAGTATCTATTCCTCAATTTGTAAACCCATAAGATCACATCAATTTAAAATATTGACTTCAGCAAAACAATTTAACGTGTATCTTCTATGATGTCTTGGTTTTCGTAATAAATGCTTGTTGGGCTTGTTGTATCCCTTGTGTTTATGTATTTCTTTTCTCGTTCTCGCCAAAAGCAGAACTTTTTTGATGAAACTTTAATCGAATGTCTTCTTTCATTTTTTTATATTTTTCGAGTTCACATAGGATCAAACGAAACTCTTCATCTGAGATTTTATTATCATTGAGAGCGGTGGAAATATGGTCTTCTATCGTGTTTAACTTTGCTTCAGCAAGAATTCTAATTTCATGGTGTTTCTTAGCTTTACGATTCAATTTGCGAGATACAAATTTAAACACTGACCCAGCTATTCCGGTCACTACAGCTGTTATTTCAAGGCCTTACACCACTGGTGCGGATACGATGGTGGTCAACAATCCAACTCCTACTGCTCCTAATCCCATGCTAGTTGTCATAAGAGTGGTATCAGCCCCATCCATGTAGTTTAAAGCTCTATTGCATTTTTGTGTAGCGATGCCCAAATATCACGGTCTTGTTCTAGCTGACGTTTTATTTCACATATCTGTTTAAGTCGAAACCCTTCTACACTTCCCTTTATATTTCCTTCATCATCAAAGACTGGGTATAGCCCCATTTTATGTGTTTATAATATATTTAATAAATTATTTTTTAATTATATGTCATTTAATTTTTGATTAATATATTTGAGGCTTGTAAGGTTTAGATTATTGTACAGGTAAATGGGTGAGACATTAATAGGTATGTTTTTCGTCTAAAATACGAACCCCATCTAGGTTTATTAATGGTTTATAACCTTGTCTTATTATGATTCGGCAACGTTTATTCTCGTGTCTTTTAAACCAAATTATTCTCAGGCCGTCTAAAAGTATTCTTGGACTGGACATCTCTGCGAGATATACGTCTATAACTAGCGTGGTGTGTGATTTCATACCATAATTTGAATCTGAAAAAAAATCACGTTGGTAATCGAAAATGCTGTGAATGAATAAATTGGCATTCAAGCCGACTGGAGCTAACATGTTACCAGTGTGCCTTGGTATTCGTAATACTTGAACAGTATTTTCTTTGAAGGGATTAAAGGACGTGAGAAGAATCCCGTTGTTTGTAATTTTGGAAACGAAATCATTTTAATTAAAAAAGATGTAAGGTGAGGTTAGTGTTATTTTAATTAACCATTCAAGCTCTGAAAAATCTGCTAGTGGCATTCGTTCGTATACGTCTTCTTTATAGTATAGTAGGTACGGGATGTCTTCCTCACCAGGTAAATTGAACCGCTTTGTGTCTCCTAGATCACCGAGTGTTACATTGGGGTGATGACTTACCATTGTTTATATAACTGTTATAAAATAGTTTCCAATTGTTTTTCTGATAATTTCTCAGGCGTTAACTTCAATTCCATAAAATGTATGTTCTCGGATAGAAAAATACTTGCTAGAGATATAGTGTCTTCCACGTTAATGGTGACACCCTGCAGACTGGTGTGTGAATCGTCTCCCACCCGCAGGTAAATAGAGCAAACGCGATACTGGTGTTTTTTAGCCCACTGGAGTTTGATTCCCTTCACGATCTCAATCTCACTCTGAGTTGGTTGACCTAGGTAGACTTGGATGAACAGCGTGGAATTCTCCGGTAGATTTTGCAAGATGTTGAGCACGCCGTCGAATTCAGACACCAACTTCAATACCGCGTTTTTCTCCCCTGGTTTAACTGATAGCATGTGGGCTGACATAGTCGAGAGTGGGCTGATGATTACACTGCGTCTCTCTGATGGGACGTAAGCCACGATTAGGGTTCCGTTGTTAACGACTTTGTTTAGTAAGTGGTCTTTGTTTTCCGTGAATACGTATGGGGAACTTAGTGTGATGTTGAGAAACCAGTTGATTCGAGATGGTAACATCATCCACTTGTTATCGTTAGTGAGCATTAGATAGTACGGTTTGTTTTGATCAACGTTCGTTCTGTCAAAGTCTTCTAAATCGAACAATTTACCACCGAACGATGGGTATATTCTCCATTCATCCTCGTCGTTGCGAACTATATTGTATCGAGTGTTGCTGACAGATCTTGATGTATCTAGGTTAAAAGTACTACCAGATCCACCAACGACGGGAACTTCAACTCGTTTGTAAATGCTGTTTACAAGCTTTAAAGCGTAAATTTTACCATCTATTCCTGAGTCATCAAACCCCCTAGTATCACCTAGGTCTGATAATCCTACATTACTGCATCTTTTTACTCGCATTCCTGGGCCTTGATTGCTAGCCATTATTGTATATGTAGTATTACGCTGAGGTATCCTATATTTATATTAATATTTTTTGTATCTAAAATTGATATTTTTAATTCAGAAATATTACCATTTATCAATTTTTTATACTGTCGCGATGAAAACGACTCGGTGCGTCCGTCATTGTATTTTTCTGTTATAACCGGGACAGCCCTCAACAACGTGGAAGGACGTTCACTTTGTACATTATCTGTTGTGCTAAGCTGATCGAGATGAACGCATAGCTCGCGGTATGGAACTAGCTCTGGTAACTTCGTACCAGTAACGGTAATCTTAGGGTTTATTTCTTCTGGTGGCAGCCCTAGTATCTTCGCCAACAGTCGACCGAGTCTCAATTTGTTTGCACTGTTGTTCATAAACACCACTGTTCCGTTTGAGTCATTTATTTTGAGTTCAGATCCTAAGGGTTTGAAAACTTCATCATTGAGGGAACACACGCTGTAGTATCCATCTGTTATTTTACGTAGGAATCCACCAAAGAACACATTATTATTATTGCTGTTGATGTTTGTCCATCGCGGGTAGTAGGTTATATCACATAGTGCTATTTCGAGTTGACCAGACGTGTTATCAATAACGTGCATAAGTTGAACGGCTTCACCGCTCGTTACACCCAGAAGAGTAATGTACATATTTATGTATATTTATATATTATATAATAATATGTATAAACCCGAAGTAAGTTACCCAAAAAACGACAACATAAAGGCTTATGACTTCACACACATGAAAATAGTGGTTGACATGGCTGGTTCGTACTTCAAAACCCAGTTTATAGACGTGTTTAAAATTATAGGTTTTGGTCACTAATGTTAAAACGGTTCACGATTGGTTTCACAACCCTATGCAGTTCTGGCAGAATCAATTCAATTTTGCCGTGTGGTGTGCGACAACTGGATGTGGTTTGACATTGACAGACACTAGGCGTAATGAGCTAAGTAAATCCATTTTCACTTTTCACGTGTATTACCAGGTAAGGCGTATCCTCAAAGAAATCAGCGCCCCAGTCCCACAGGACAAGGCATGGGATGCAGTAAACAATCCGTACGATCGACGTGCGTATGAACGTATTTGTAATGAATTCGAACTAGACCAAAAGACGGATTGGCGTTTGACGGGCCCAAACCATGGGTTGGGCATCCCTATCGTTCACAACATGCCCCTCATGGAAGCCAGCAAAAAGCTAAAAGAATGGGGTGGTAAAACATATGCGAATGCTTACGTCACGAGAAACGAGTGGAGAGATGATCTCATGTCTTTCGACGACAGCAAGGATTACCGAGTGTGGAGGTTCGAGCAGGGTCCGGATGACTGGAAAATATTTATGCTGGACACGTCGAAGGGTTTTACTCGTGCTGGTGTTATCAGATTGAACGATTCGATTCGAACGTACGTGTGGGCTATTCTAGGGTCTCAATCACAGACGCGTTCTAATATTATAGGTAAGGGAACGGCTTACGATTCTCAAAAACAGTTCGTGGCTAATATTGAGGACGCTATCGCATCACCAGTAGATTTACCTAGTGCTATAAAAAGATATCAGGATACGTTGCAATACGCCAGGTCAAAAGTCGACTACGTGTTCGGTGTTGGATTGTACATGGCTCCGAGTGATATGCGTCTGAGAATCAATAAAATAACAGGCTATAACAATGAAATAATCATCGCCACAGCCGACCAAAAATTGGGTGTTAACGCCGACGTCAACGTCTCTGATGTACCACCACCCACGCATACTGGTGAAACGGGTATAGTGGCATCACCCCCAGAGTCTAGGGTTCAGTCCACACCACCACAACCCCAACCACCACACGTGCAGGTGTCTAATCAGCAGCACATCGACCGTAAAACAGCGCTGGTGGTTGTTGGGATCGCGGTTGGCTTGGGTTTCATCTGGTTAAAAATTCCTTAGCTGCCACGTACACCAACCCGGCAACGGCGACGATAAACGCCCACAGGTTTTGACTGAGCCACGTGACTGTTTTCGAGAGAGTGCTAAGCAACCACGAGACGATGCTACCCAGGATACCTGGCAGGGCTTCGGCGGCTTTACCGGCGAGTTTAGCCAGGGCTTCCCCTAGTGATTTCAGATGTTTTTTTATCCAGTCTCTGACGTCAGTGTTTCAGTGTTTCTTTTCCCTGTGTTTCGATTGATTGTACAACAGTCTGCTGAAATTCTTTATCCATGTGTAGTGATATTTTTCACCTTGTTGGATCATAAATGTATTGATCATTTTACAACAATCCTTATACAATAAAGGACTTATCCTGTGTACTATTACGTTTTTACCTTCGTGTCCGAAAACGTTTATGGCTAAGTCTGGATTCTGTTGTTCTATTTTTTTGATCTGAGAGTTGGGGGTGGGTTCGTCTATACCTTCCCAATTGAGCCCATCATCTTCTGGATAACTGGAAAGTCTATCGGAATGTTTTTCAACTGGAAATTTAGCGGATCTTATCGCTATCCTCATACAATTATTGTCTCGGTTTTTAAAGTTAACCATAGCTTGTTTTTTTCTTGAAATACTCAGATATGGGTAAGTACGATCCACCTTTGAACGGTATATAGTTTGCTATATCCAGGTAGACCATGCTAATCTTGTCAACAACCCAACCAGAACCCATATTAGTGTAACTTTCTCGCATTTTTTCTAATGATCTGTCTATAGAAGAGTTGATAGTGTCTGGTTGTGTTGTAACTTCTTGATTACCTCTGAAGTAAACATTGGTGTATTCAGTTGTTTCATTCGACTGTTGTTTCTCTA